AGACGTGTGCTCTTCCGATCTCCCCAAAACCCCAAAACCCCAAAACCCCACGTATTGGAAAAAGAACAGATTTTTCGATAAAACTTTTGAATATAATTTACAAAATTTATAAGGTTAACTTAACTCAATATATAGATTACTCTTTTATAATAACGATTGTTTGATCTATAGGTTTATAAAATTCATCGTCATACTCTAACTTATTTTCAAATACTACTGTGAGGACTATTAAATTGTGATCACTCATCGAAATTGAAATGCCCTTCAAGGCTAGGATAGTCCTTAGTATATTAACTACTTTGCACATAGATTATATCATAGTATGAAGGCTAAAAAAAGTTATCTAAAGCTGGAAGCTTAAATTTAGGGTACAGTAAAATTTTTTCACTGACATCTACATTTAGGCGCTTGTATATTTCATTGATAGTTTCCTCGATTCTGATCTGGAAATTATGAGAATCAATTGAGTTTTTGGTATGAGTAAGGAGCTAGTTAACTATCATAGATTATTAATTTTCACTTTATGTGTTAGTCTCGTCCAAATCATCCTAAGCTTCTATTGTTATAAAATTAGACTCATTTTCTCTTTCATTGATGGATGACCTAACTTGTGCTTATCTGGATGAGGGAGGTTCTATTATTGATTTCGCAAAACTTTTATTAGATTAATTAACTACTGTATTCTATGATTTTAATACAGGCTCAACAGTCTCCTGCTTAACAACTAAAACTTTCTCTTCGGATTTTTTCACTTCTTTTTCTTTGAATTTCTAGACCTTGCCCTTAGCACCCTTATTTGGAGGAGTATCATTAGAGGAAGAATCCTTGTCGAAAACAACTGTGTCTGACATGTTTAAATCTTATTCATCACTCAATTAATCTTCTTTAAGCTTTTATAACTTTTACTGCTCGATAGCCTGATCAAATCTTGATGAGTCAAGAAGCCAAAACTTGTTTTTATCGGCTTGCCTAGTACTTTTTTTCTTTTCAACTCTTGCTGTGGTGTTATCTGAAGCCAACAATTCATATAGGCTATCTCTCATTCTATCTGACTCTAGATTCGTTAAAACTCTAAAACTTTGGAGTTATGATTAACTCTGATTAACCTAATTCGATTCACTCTTTTCAGCATTTTCCCTTTAAGTCTATTGATCTCTAGTAGTTTTAAGATCAAGATCCTCATTATATCTCTTCTCAATAAGATTATTTTAGATCCTGCCAAATATGGGAAGTAATTGAGCCGTCTTCTATCTTGCATGTTTAGTTTTAAGAAATTGCTTAAGTTACTTTGTGAACAAATCTTGTTTTTAGATTGGTTTTACCTTAGGGTCTATAATTATCTCCTAATTTGAGTTAGAATTTGAGCTTGATTTCTCCTCATTGCTATCCTCTTTGATCAGAGAAGTTGTTTTCTTCTCTCCATTTCCTAGTTTAGAATTCTGCTTATTTGAGTTTACATTAGGATGGGATGATTTTAGAGAATTTTCTAGTGGATTCTTATTGCCTGAACTATCCCTCATTCCTATCATCTTCTATAATATCTATTGATAGCCTGAGTTAGAAATACCTGAATTCTGAGGTAGCATATTTTAAGCTAATTTAATTTAAGAGCTACCCACTGATGCTATGAAAGGAAGCATCTGCCCAGAGTTATGTCTGGAAAAATTCTGGTGATTTGATGACATTTGAGTCGACTGTTTCTCTAGTGATTCCTTAAACTAAGCTATTTATAGCACTGAATTCAATTGATTTCCGCCAACTTTCATCTAATATTAAGGAGTCAATTCAGTCATTAATTCCGTTTAATAAGACTTAATGACATTGTTTTTGAACATTGCTGTTTCTTGAGTAGTTGGGGAGTAATTCTCTTCTACAGTCTCTGATGACTAGACTTTCCTTGGCTGATTCATTTAGTTGTTATAAGGGCTCTCGTCCTCTCTGTCTATGTTTTGGCTTTAATTTGTTGAGGCTGGCAACTTAAAAATTGGTGCTATTTCCAACTAATTTTTTTAATCTTGCTAGCTTTGTTTGGCTTGAATTGTCTGAATTATATTTTGAATCTTCCCTTGAATATCCTCATTTCTAGTGTTCAAAACTTTGTTTTGTAAATTGACATTTAATTTAATCTAGTTCTCTAAATTAAGCTTTTCCTTTAATGATCCACCATTAGGTCCTGCTGAAGAGGATTACTCTATTTAGTGAGAATAATTCCTTTGATGATGAGTTGGCTATTTTTAGACTAACTTTGTAATCATTTTATGATAGTTGTTTTTGTTTACTCCCTAACTTTGATTTCCATTAAAATAATTATCTATCATTTCATTCGCAGTATCTTGATCATTCCCAAAATCTTGAGACATTTAGTTAGTATACTGGGAACTATTTGGGTACTTTATCTTTGGAATCTAGCTAGACTGATCAGTCAGCTACGTCTTTTACTATTTGATGGAGGGGAAGAATTAATCTGAATGTTCCTTCTTTAATGTAAGAGCATTTTGAAAACCACTGGTGTTTACATTATATGTTTGATTTTTTGAGCCCTTAATGAAGCTAGATCCACCACTTACAGGTGTCTGTGATGCTCCTTCTTGAAAATAAGCATTGTTTTGAAGATTTTTTTGATAAGAATCATTTCTTTTAAGTGCTGACGCAACTGTTGATTATCTATTTAATGAAGGCATATTTGCTATAATCTTGGTGTTTATTATAATTGGGGTTGCACTGGTCTCTATTCTTGGCATATTTATATTTTTATCAAAAGTTTTTTATGTTATAATTCTTTCCTTAGATACTTAATGAGTCATGCTTTATCTTAAACTACCGCCATTGTTGGTTGTAATGATTGAGGGCTTTGCCTTGACTTTAAGAGTCATGTATGGAACTTGATCATTATTCTGAGATTATATCTCACTCTAAATCCTACTTTTAGAAATCATGAAGTTTGTTGGAGATTGCCCGTTTGATAAGTTTTAATGATCTGTCTAAGTATAAGTGTATCCAGCATTAAAGTTGATATTTCTAAATTATTATGGTTAAGATCGGTCATTGGACATAGATCGGGGCTATAGCTGAGAGATTTAGTTATTTTGATTTTAGTGTGCAATCTTTTTTAGTATACTTTTAATAGATTAATTTTCTTCTTGCTATTGGCCTCCAATAAAACCCTACTTTTTGTAGAATAATTACTATTAGGGATTCATGTGCAGCTCTATAGCTGTTTCGCTCCTTTTATGCTGTCCAAATTTTTTCATTTACATATTTGGGCTATCGTTCCCTTTTTCAGGGATGATAATGGTATTATTAAAGACAGGCTATTGATGTTCAAAGTTGCTTCTGTTGTTACTAGGAATGAAATTTTATTTTTATTTCTGTTCAGTGTGCTAGATAGGTGGCTTATTAGGCTTGTTATTTATTTGCGAAAAATTTTTCCCTTAATTAGATACTCCAGTTGCTGAATATTGCAATTAGTACTAATTATTACTATTGTAGTTATGACTGATTTCGGAGGCTATGTTTGAATTCTGTAGAAATTGATGGTGTGAATTGTTATTGTGTAGTGTCTAAAAGTAATCCTTATTTTTTGTTCATTTGTTCATGATTGGCGAGATTCCCTGGTTTAATTATGTCGGTGTCATTATATTCTGTAAATAAAGAGGATTTTTTTAAACATATTTTTTATGGGACACTGTAGCAAATCCTTCATGAAAAGATCCTTGCCTGTCCACAGTATTGTAAATACTTTAATTATCACTTATGTTGTCAAGATTAAGTTATTGATCCCTAGGTTTCCCTGTTATCTTTTTGAGAATATTGATTACTTGGACTTTTTTCTTGATCTTTTTTTCAGCAGCAGGCTAATCATAATTTTCTGCTTCATTCGTGATATTCTCATAACCATGCTACAAGTATTTAATTTGGTTTTGGGAGTTCGAATATTTCTAGTTTTAAACAAGATGGTGTTTGGGATGATAGTTTTATACAGGTGTAATTAGAGTTTAATGGGATGCTGTTTAAGGTTTCAACATCTATCTAAGAATTATGATATTTCAATTAAATTTAATAACAAAACTTAATACCCTCTGTATTACCTTATATTTACATTCTATCCACCTTCAGGGGTTTTGGGGTTTTGGGGTTTTGGGG